AGACTCACGTAACGCGAGCTTTACAGTCGTAATGCATGTTTTTTGTCACGGCACATAGACGGAGATTAGATTTAGCCTCTGTCTTTGCTCGAAACAAGGTCCATGCATGAACAAAAGTCGTGGTCGGAACATAATGACGGAATGATTTCATCAAATATTCTGCGTATTGGATGTTTCAGAATAAAATTTCAAGGATTCTACGTATTCTGTATTGTATATCTTTTTTCTATTTTCACTATTCTACATTCTATATTTTGTTTTCTACATTCTGTATTCTATGACGTATTTAGACCCCCTTACACAATAGTTTACTAGTTTACCTACGAATATTAAACATTGAAAATTGATGAATATATCGATGACCAATTCTAACAGTTCTAATATATAATATTATAAAAATATTCTATTATATAACTTACAACTTGTGACCTACCGATTCATTGATATTGCAAACGTGCTCAAATGATAAAGACTTTGATCCTCTCCTTTTCTCTAATTAAACTCTTTTTGTCTTAATTTATAATACAACATTTCCTGTTCCACAGAATAGAAAATATAAGTAAGATACGTAAAATATACGAAATATAGAATAATATTTCAAAGAATGGCCCAGAAAAGAAATTAATGGAAAATAGACTTAAATTTTTATGAAATATCAAGAGACCAGCATCTCTGGAAAGGTAACACATGATTTTTCTCATACATCAAAGGAAACTTCTCAAACGGTCGGTATAGAACAGAGAACTATGATCGTAGACACGGCGATGCACGAGCAGACGAGATGAGGACGCAGATTCTTGGGAAAGTTTATAGTGATCATGGTTAAAGATATTAAGGTCGAGCGTAAGGCAACGATGTAACTTTCCCTCGAAACCTTATATTCTCATATGGCATGAAAGCCGATCAATATCCTCAAAATAGAACGAATGAGTACACGCTTCATGTCGCACAAACGGAAAGAGAGAGAGAGAGAGAAAGAGAGAATGAGAAAGGGAGTGGAAAAGCAAAATTTTCCGAACCTCTGTTCACCCTAATATTGACGGAGCCCCATTATGAACAGCGACAGTCACGAATATATGAATGGAAACAAGGGGCGCATGGGAAATTATCGACACATCACTCGAAGATATTTTAACTTACAGTGAAATGTGCCAGTCTTTTTCAGGAAGCAATGATACATCCTTTGATGATTCCATTTTATTCTATCTATTCTATCTATTACTTCCTTATAAAACGAAAGAAACCTTTGGGACAACTTAATACATTTGATTCATTTGTGAAAATAAATTTCATTTGTACCATTTTGTACTGTAACTGTCATATAAGCTCAAAAATTTCGTATATTTAACCTTAGTGTATGAAAGATTCTTAAAATCGAAATTAGTTCAAGCAATTAATTTATACAGTGTATTCCAATACATTTTTCTTGAATGATAAATGCGATAAGACATTTCATGTACTACATATATGTATAATATAAGTATACTAATAACAAATATTAATAAAATTCGTATATATAGTTGTTATCAAAATGAATAGAAAAAGTATGATCTTAGTTAAGAAAGCAATACAGAAAAATTAAAAAACAAATAACTTTGATACGAAGCTTATCCGTGCCCACCTATGTAAATTGTATTTTAATTAATTTCGCTAAACATATCGTTTATACGGTCATTAATATCCCACATACTATTCATTTCGTTCATTAGCATTAACAACTATATCTGCTTATCCTAATACTCGGCGCCTCTGTATCAGAAATATCGCAGTAAAACTAATTATTCCGTGGAATAAATTCGGAAAATTGTAACTTGTATTTCAGAATTATCCATTATTCATACATCACTCGGTACATTTGAATTAAATAAAGATAAAAGACAGAAACAAAATCGAAATGAAATTTATATAATGCTAGAATAAATCGTTGTTTATCAAAATCCCGATTATTCGATCGTTGTATTAAATTAATCAAATGAAATAATTATAGATTGTTCCATTTCACCATTGTTTGGTGTTGCTTTTATGTATCAATTTCATTTTTCAGAAACAGATGAATTGATAATTAAATTGAATTTGTATGAAAGAAATTAAAATAACAACTACGTGAAAAGATATAGAATCGAATCTTTTTCGAGATATTCTACAAAAAATCATTTATATCTCCAAAAAGACGCATGTTAATCTATATACAACACATATTGTATAATGACTGATAAATAAGATTGATGTATAATTGATAAATGAATATACAAATTTATAATATATATAATTTATAATATATATATGAAAGAGTTTATTTCAAGCATCCTAGTATTTCTAATATTAATAAGTATAATAAATAAATTCAACGAAATATAAATATAGATAGTAATATAGATACAAATTTCCATATAAATGTAAGGAAATAATTATTGAATATGAATGAACAATGTTATTTAGTTTGTCCACCATTAATCTTTGATACATTATATAAAAACCTTAATACCAGAAATTTATGGATTGAATTATCATAAAATTCAAAACTCTTGATTTTCCATACGTTATTTTATTAGCCATAACTTGTGAAAATTACTATATATGTAACATTCATCTGAGAATTACCACTTTTTTTACAAATTTGCAAATTACGTATTAAAATGGCTATTTTCAGTTTTTTCAGTTATCGTAATTCAAACTATTCAAAGCAACGCCATCCAACAATAGTTACGTATATGTATATTAATCCATTAAGGACCAACGTTGCATCAACGTAACATTTCATTCATAATTTTTCTCAGATTTATAGCACTACAATGAATCGTTTTCTTTTTAAACCATGGAAATCTTTCTTAATAGGCTTCTATAAGATATGTGCTATTCTACTACGACTTTTGGAAATCTCAATCAAACGATATGTAAGTCACTTTATTTACTTACTTTCAATGATATTGCGTTAGAGCTTTTACGTATTATTTCATTATTCGGACCGGATAAAAACAACTAAATTACTTTGTTTATTCACAAAATATCTACCTTTATGTTTTACACGTTTGATTCAAGTAGCCTTGCCCTGGCACACACCTGTTTAAATTCCCAATCGTCCGTGTTCTGCGTAACAGAAACGCGCCTACACTACTTCGCGAGAATCGCAATAATTTCGAGATCTCGATCTTCGACACTAACGACACAGCGATACCGCTTTTATCTTCAAACTACGACACTGCCGATCGCGGCGCGAATTCGACCGCGATTTAAATCGCGCCACTTCGACATCGTTCAACACCAGTCGAATAATCAGCTGAACGGGAACAAGAATAAAAGGGATAGTAGTAGTAGTAAACGAAAGAAAACGAAAATGAACGAGATGAACCGATTTCCCACGATAAACCACGACTCGCGACACTGTCGGTTCGAGGTCGTCACGACGACTGGCGGAATTGTCGACAGAGAGCGACACGACAGCCCTCGGCCGGGTCAACGCATGCGCCCTTTACACCCTGTGCCCAACCCTGTTTTTATAAAGACCACCCTTACGCTACGAATCTCCTTTCGAATACCTGCTTTCCTATTTTTTCATTCCTTTAATCCTTCCGCATTCAAGAATAAGATTTATATTAAACCTGATATAAAATATATTTCAATATAAAATGGAATATATATTCTATATTATATTCCAATGACAATCCTCATAATACGAATTTTCTTTCGAATACTCATCACCCTATGTTTTCATTCCTTTAATCTTCCCGTGTACGCAACAGAAGTCTTTGTTAATTACATAAAATATATTTCAACATAAAATGAAATATGTACTCCATATACATGTATACATTGCAGTGACGACCCTTACTCTACGACTCTTCTTTCGAATAGCGGTCTTCTTTTTTTCTCACTGCCTTAGTCCTACCCTAAAGACTACAATTATTATAAAAATGCAAAATTTCGATACACATTATATTAAATAGGATGTATATTTGTTTTAGCATAATGGACTTATTTGACATTTTAATTATATTTTACAACTATCCACATCGACCATAACCATTCCCATCGCCCATATTGGGCATATTTTATTAAATTAACATTAAATAATATTTAATCTTTTGTATCGTACTCACGTGTGTACGTATGTATACAGTAATATTGTCTGCGAATGAGAATATTTGCTTTCGTGTAATTGGTGATTTTAATTGATGGAAAAAATAATTCCCATTGTTTGTTACAGTATCGTGGAACATTATGTAACAGAAAAATAATTTCTCTAATAGTTTTATTTCTAGTGACGTTGTTGCTTCACTCGATGACACATATCGTCCGTGGATAGCGTCACGATCGATTTAATTCATGAGAAGCAATATCGAGTAATGAGAACTCAATTCTTTATTTCGAGATTCCGTAAACCTAATTAAATAATTTATGCGTTCAAATTATTTTATATGTCCGTGAAACGTTTTAAAATCTATCTAATTCTTGAAAACTATCGTGAAAGGAAATCATTTTACATTAACCATTAATAAAGTCAACCAAATGCAATTAAATATTTTATTGTTATAATGTTAAATGAAAATTAGAGAAGTTACTATTTGTAATGATTATAAATAATGTTGCGATGGTATAAAATTTTCTTGATAACTTTTAGGAATGAAATATTCATAGGAAATATTGTTAAGTAATAATTTAAACCACATAACATGAAGATTAAGAAATCGAATTAAATCATCTATATTTCTAAGCACTTTTAGAAATTAATTCTAATAAATAGATTGCGAATCTGCATGCAAATTCATATTCTTAGAAGTATAGATAAAAAATTTTAACTTAAATGAAAATTTTCTAATAGTAATACATATATATAAAATATATATATAAAGTAATACATATTCCTTATTTTTTATATTTTATATAATTTTGTATTTGTGAACGTTTTTGTATATTTTTGCATACTCACATTTGCCATAAATGCACAAATATCCGCAGTTTACTAATAAATCATTAATAAAGTAAAAAAAAAAGAGAAAGAATTACTGTTATTCATAATATAACATATAATAAAATCACAAACAAGGATATACATAGTCAATGATAAAATTTAATTCATAATTCAGATACAGTTTGTATAAATATTTTTCCAACCGCCGCATATACCTATGTCGACACGATACTCTGCTGTACCGACGGTCGACCTTACCGCTGTTTAGCTTTAACGTATAACGCCTAGCATTCGTTTCTAAAGCACGGTACATTGCAATGCAATAACAAAAAGGTCCTCCAACGTAGGAATTTCAACGAAAGAATGAAATTTCAAACATGGTCAATACCTTTTAAGAGTATAATAAATTGTATCTTATGCCACAATAATTTTTCGAGAATATATTATATTTGTTTAAAAGACCGATCAACCATAATTAAAAATATTATATAAAATATAAATACCTTCATTTAGATATGTGCATTTTAAATTTTGATATTAATGCTTGATTTTAATGCTGTTAATAACTTAAAGTCAAGTAGATGTAGTAAGAAGGAGAAGAGATGTAGGAAATCAAACAAGATTCGTACAGAAATACTTTATTGTAATAGAGATAGATCCTTCAATTCAAGTTTAGGAAACTGCACTCTCTGTTCAATCCATTTTGCTACAGTAAGAAGTTCCTTCTCTTTCAAAGGAGGTCCCATAAGTTGTAAGGATAATGGTAAACCACTCTTAGATAGTTTAATTGGCACATTAAGTGCTGGTATACCTGCCATATTAGCAGGTTGAGTACAATAATCTTGAATCAAACACTGTGCCTGGTTATCCATTGAAATAAAATCATTATAGGTAGGAGCTCCTGTTAAAGTGGTAGGAGTGAGTAGGAGATCAATATTATTATTCCATACTGCATCAAAATCTTCTGAGATTAATCTTCTTATTTTCATTGCTTTTACGTAATATTCTTCGTAATTTTCATTTAATAAAAAATAATTCCCGACTAGAATACGTTCTTTAACTATTTTACCAAACCCTTCAGACCTCGTCTTCTTATACATATTATGCACCGAACTCCATTCATCTGATCTGTAACCATACTCCATGCCATCATAACAAGCAAGATTACTTGCAACATCACAACGATTTAAAATTGTATAACACATTATAGAATAGTTAGTATGTGGCAATGATACTGTGGAAAGCGATGCTCCATCTTCAATTAAGTATTGAGAAATTTCATCCCAACATTCTTGTACCTCTGGGCTTAGGTTTTTCTCTTTATATTCCTTTGGTATTCCAATTCTAATATTATTAATATTTATTTTGTCTGGTATGTCAAATGGTACATATTCTTTTCGTAAACAAGTAGAATCAAACTCATCTGGACCAGCTATAGTATTTAAAACTAACACAGCATCATCAACATTTCTTGTAAGAATACCAGGTACATCCATTGAATTTACAAGAGGAATAAGTCCATAGCGCGATACCAAACCATAAGTAGGTTTTAATCCAATTAAACCACAATAAGATGCTGGGTTTCGAGTTGAACCTCCAGTATCTGAACCAATTGCAGCATAACAACTTCCAGCTATAACAGCCACTGCAGAACCACCACTGCTACCACCTAAAATAAAATTCTTATAAAATATTTGATAAAAGACTTTAACCATATATACCTGCTATATGCCAGGAATCTGCATTTTTATTCTGTTCTGTATATTCTTTCATTTGATTATTGCAAGAATAAAATTTTGAAAGCAAATCTGAGTTCCATAAGTTTTTTGTTGGTCCATAATATGAGTCAATAGTTCCAGAACCCATAGCAAATTCATCGAGATTAGTTTTACCAATTAACACTGCCCCAGCATCTTTTAAACGTTGATACACAGTGGCATTGTAGGTGGGAATAAAATTTGACAGCATCTTTGATGCACAAGTTGTTAGATGACCTTTGGTACAATAATTATCTTTAATCGCAATGGGAATTCCATCGAGTTTTCCCAATAAGCTACAATCTTTTTGCCGTGAATCTGAGTTTTCAGCGTGTTTCTTTGCTGTTTTATCGGTAATAGTAATATAAGCATTTAAAGGTTTAATAGCTGATGCAACTTTAATAGCTGCTTTTGTAACATCAGAAGGTCCCACATCACCAGCATTTATCTTTTGACTTACTTCTCTTATCGATGTAGTCAATAATTTATTCATATTTTCCTAATAATATAACCAAACAATGATATATATATACATATATATATATACATATGACATAACCTCAATTCATTTACCGGTAAGAAATAATTTTAAATAAATTACTATAGAAAAGATGATATTGATACTTAAGAAATTAGTTAAAATAGTATCAAATTTTGAACTACTTCAAAAATTCATCGGAATTAGATTAATAATGCAATAATATTAATTAAAAGTCACTTGGTAAACATATGAACTGTTTAGAACGTGTGTTACGTGACATGTATATATTATATTCAATACAATAAATAATTTATAACATAACTTTGAACTGAAATTTATTGTTATATATATTAATTGTTAGTAGTTTCTTTAACAGTTGCGCAATAATAATTACAATTTTCTTGCAATAATGAGAAAAAAAGTCAACAGCTAAAACAAGATGGATATATTATTACTCTATTTTCTCATTTGAAAATACTGCACATAATTTAAATATGTAAATCAAATTGTTAAATCAAGTGAAATAGATTCATTTATATTCTGGTATTATTTTATAAATTGTATTTACTACATTCGAAAATACAGAAATTATAGGACGTTTTTAAATATATTCAAAAAGTAAAAGAATATGACTTTTTTATTGATAGATTCATTTATTGATTTGATATACTAAATCCCTTTATGTATATGACTATGGCTTATGAAGATAGTTATAATCATAATCATGTCAGAGTAGACAACATATAGCATCAAAACTCGTAGTTATGAAACCTTATGATATTCCTAACTTCCACTTTCAAAATATCTATACAGGTATCTCTAAATATTTTATCTTTTAAATTAAATAAAAATATCTTATTTCCTTTTTATTATAAATTTTTTGCATTATTCAAAGATTTATCCAATTGTCTAATCAATATATTTCTGCTAATATGTATGTAGAGCAATTTGTGTAAATAAAATTAGTACTTCAAATAAATGCAACAGATATAAAAATAAAAAAAGATTGGTCAATTTTATCCACTAAGAAATGGGTGCACATGTTTGACCACTTCCACCTTTCAAAAGTTGCATTCAACTCGCTGCCATTTCCATTTGACTCTCTGTACGTTCAGAGGTTTCCAAGATGGCGAAGAAAACGTTAGCAGATAAAACACTTCAAAACGAAGATAATGTTAAAAATAATGATGATATATTTAACGACGATGAAGAGCCAAATTTCAGCGATCCTGAAGGATTTGTGGACGATATTACCGACGAAGGTAAACAAAACTTATCCTCAATGAATTTTCATCAATAGAAGCTATGCCAGGACGTCTGAAAGCATGGCTACGTATAATCGCAAATGTGGCATGCATGCCTAACCTAAAAAGCCACGAGTGTTTCATACTTTGTATTAAATATTACTTCGTAACTTATATTGAATATAATTTTGTTCAACTTCTTTTCAATTTAATATTCTTATTTGCAGAACTCCTTGGTGATATCTTGAAGCAAAAACCATCAGAGACAGATGGAGTGGAATCCGTAATCGTCGTTGATGGAGTTCCCCAGGTTGAACCAGAAAGATTGGAAAAACTTCAATCCGTCATTAGCAAAGTCTTAGGAAAATTTGGCACAATAGTGAATCAATATTATCCCAAAAATGAAAATGGATATACAAAAGGGTGTGTACTAATGACCTATATATTATCCTTAAGAAATTATTCAAATGTTATTGTATTAACTATATATTTTTCATTTCAGGTACATATTTCTAGAATATAATAATCCTCTTAATGCTTTAGCAGCTGCCCAATCTGTAAATAATTACAAAATTGACAAGCAACACACGTTCAAAGTAAATTTGTTTACCGATTTTAAGAAATTTGAAGAAATTGCAGATGAATGGGAACCTCCAAAACCACAAGAATTTAAAGCTGCAGCAGATTTACATTATTATCTTTTAGAACCAGATGCTTATGACCAATTTTGTGTACTTTGTGGTAATGGCCCTTCTGTTACTGTTCAAGTCTGGCAGAATTCTGCTCCTGAACCAACATTGCTTGAAGAACGTTCTGTAAGTTATTATATTTTATTCATTTTAATTGATCACTTATTGAGTACCAAATTTTTATATTTTCTGTAGCGATGGACTGAGACTTATGTTAAATGGTCTCCATTGGGGACATATTTAGCAACATTCCACAAATTAGGTGTTGCATTATGGGGTGGTCCTCAATTTTTACAACAAGCCAGATTCAGTCAGAAGGGTGTTGAATGTATTGACTTTTCTCCTTGCGAACGTTATTTAGTAACATACACTCCACGAACTGATCTTGGTTCAGATCAGAAACGACTAGTAATTTGGGACATTCTTACTGGACAAGAAAAACGTGCGTTTTTCGCAGATGGTTCTTCAGTATGGCCTATTTTCCGCTGGTCGCATGACGATAAATATCTTGCTCGTATGGGGGAAGATGTTTTGAGTGTATATGAAACACCAGTATGTTCCTTTCTTTAATGTTATAAATAGCATTATGTTTCAGTATGTTTGGGTTTTAGTAATCTTATTATAAATATTGCAGTCATTTGGATTATTAGATAAGAAGAGTATAAAAATTCCTGGTATCAGAGATTTTAGTTGGTCTCCAACAGATAATGTTCTTGCTTACTGGGTACCAGAAGATAAAGATGTTCCAGCTAGAGTCACTCTTCTCGAAATACCAAAGTAATACATTTTTAGCATTTTTCACTATATTCCATATTTCATAAATTATTTAAATTATAAGTTGAAATACATATTTTTAGCCGAAATGAAATTCGTAACAAGAACTTGTTTAATGTAGCTGATTGCAAAATTTTTTGGCAAAAGTCAGGAGACTATCTCTGTGTGAAAGTCGACCGTTTTGCCAAACGCAAAGAAAAAACGGAACAGAAATATACGGTATTTGTTAAATTAGTTATTGAATCCATTAAAATGTATGTAGCATGCGTATAACTTTATGTTTATTAACAGGGTATGTCTTATAACTTTGAAATCTTTCATATGAGGGAAAAGCAAATTCCAGTCGATAGTGTAGAAATAAAAGAACCAATCCATGCATTTGCTTGGGAACCTGTTGGAAGCAAATTTGCTATTATTCATGGAGAGATTCCAAGCGTAAACGTTAGCTTTTATGAAGTACGATACGGTCATCAACCAGCCCTTCTTAGTAAGCTTGTAACAATTATCCCATAAATTTCAATATCACCATGGTATTATGTACATAAATATTCATTTTACTCAACAGAAAAATTAGAGAAGAAGGCTTGTAATCATCTATTTTGGTCGCCATCTGGACAATTTATTGTTCTTGCTGGATTGACAACCATGGCAGGGGCTTTGGAATTCATTGATACTAATGATTTTACTATCATGAACTCAACTGACCATTATCAAACTTCAGATGTCGAATGGGATCCTACTGGACGGTAAGAATTTATTCTCACATATTTGTCGGAGATGAATGGACATCGGAGCCTTCCCTTGAAACTTCGGGAAAATCCCTTAACACCGTAATCTAGATTCTATCATAGGCGTAATTAAGCAATTGTCGTCCTTCGATCCGATTGTATTTGTTCGAGATTTGTAATAATAAGACGGGCTCGAGGCGACAGCCAGTCGCCGAACGTAGCCGCGGTCACGGGATGAACGCTTTGTCTAACAAAGGTATGGAGCAATTCTATAGCTCTCCTTAAAAGAAATATTTCTGGCGGCACGCGACAGAAAACATTCCAACGGTTTCTGTCCCGTGGCTCGCCACACGCAGGCGCTATTCTTCGAGTAAGATGATTGCCAGATGTCGATGCGCCTCCGCAGTACCTGTTCAGCTAACCCGAGGGCCCGTTATAAATCTTAAGATTTAGCTAACTAAAGTCCTTCAAACAGACAAACAGTCTTTGTCCCAACTACGGGAAAATAGGGGAGACCTATTTTTCAACGAGCGGCGTCTCCCACTAGCTACTTTCCCTCGACGGCGGCTAGCATCTTTTTCTAACCACCGATATGGAGATTGACCAATTAGCAGCAACGCCAATTTCCTTTACTTTCTGAACGAAGGCTTTTCTCGACGAATCCGATGATCTCGTGTCCTTAGACACACCCCATTAATAATTTTCCTTCGTGGCATCATCGGGACGGGAAAGTCATCCTCTCTCGCGATCTCATCGACGAAAAGAGTAACCCCTTATGACCAGTGAATATTACGCGTCCGACTTAGATTTTGTGAGCATGTTCATCTATCAACCCGTCGACCGCGGATTTGTTATTGAACCTAGGATCATTGTCATTAGTTTCTCGAGGCCCTAACTACCACGGTTACTTGTCCGGCTCTATAATAATCGTCTTTGCACTAGTCAACGCCTTCTCTATTGCATAACGACAACGCGCAACCCATCTATTGCATAACGACAACATGTAATCCAAACGAAGATTCGTATCACACCCCTAACCCTAATTCTTATGTAAACCCGACATATTTATATATAAAATATTTCATAAATATATATTTTTTAATATAACAATTATATAAATATATATTTCATTACAGGTATGTAGTAACAGCAGTTTCGAGTTGGAAAACTAGCGTAGATAATGGATACTGGATATGGACATTCCAAGGACGTATCTTAAAAAGAGTTAATCTTAATCAGTTCAATCAACTATTATGGAGACCGAGGCCACCAACGTTATTAACACCAGAACAAATTAAAGAAATTAAGAAAAATTTAAAGAAATATTCTGCACAATTTGAAAGCAAAGATCGTATGCGACTGACGCGTGCCTCGAAGGTACTTATATCATACTGTATTGATATATATTTAATATGAATTATGCATTTACTAACAAAATTATTTTTTAGGAATTAATCGAAAAACGCTGCGCAGCGATGAAAGCATTTGAAGAATATCGTTCAAAACGTATACAAGAATGGAATAACCAGAAGAAACGTCGTTTAGAATTACGTAATGGTTTGTATTGTAATAAATTTCTTTTTTGGAATTTAAAAGTGAGGTATCTTATACAATGCTAAACTCTTCTTCAGCTATCGACACCGACGAATTAGATTCTGATTCAAAGAATGTAGAAGAAGAAGTAATAGAATTTTTCGTCAAAGAAGAAACATTCATCATCGACGAGAAATAAAACTGTGTGGAAGAAGTTTTCATCTCTGCCATTTTTGGAAATCTCTAGTGCAAAACCAATTCAGTCATTTGTGAAAAGTGTCATCGAAGTAATTATCTTCCAGAGCCACATAGATTGTGGCTCACAATAGTAGACTGAAATGACTATTTTAAGTGGTTATGAACAGTTTTTCTTATACTATTTCTGCACCTTAATTGGAATTTCTTCCACTTTCCCGACGTTGCGTATGAAACGTCGTAAACGTAGTACCATAAAGTTTTATCATGTTCCATACAGGATAGTATGTCATTCAACAAATAATTATTATCAATACAAACATATATGACGTACTTTTTTATTTATCAAACCCATATAGCTCGATTTATTTAGTTTCATATATTTATAAATAGAAAGAGATCTATTAATTTATATATTTCTCATAATTTAAACACGATGTAAATGATAAATGAAGAAAATTTTGTAAATTAATAACATAAATTATAATATTCTTTTTTATAGCTTTAATGCATATGATTATTTGTATTAGAAAACGAATTATGACTTAGATTATAAATGGTAAACATTAAACAGACATAATACTAAAAATAATATCGAAACAGAACAACGACAGCACATACCCAACTTGGAGGAATTCTATCCCGTTCAAAAAATGTTTTATTTGTTACACGTTTTGCGCATGAAAATAAACGTTCATGCTCTCTTTGTAATTCATTTTGTAAGTTTCTATTCTTGGTTATAATAGTAATTTGAGTTTCCAAGTCTTTGTTAACAGATCTGTAACCTAGGATTAATTTTTTTCTATTATTTTAAAATCAATTTCTTTTTAAATTTTAGATCTTACCAAAATTAGGGGATCCAATAAGCGTGAGACAAGGCTTTTCTTGCTCTGGTAAAGAATACCAAAGTCCTTTAGCATGATACGTCCATCCTGGCCTAATAAATTCCCACAAAATTACTCTATTTTGTTGTCCTAACTTGTTACAGTATTTAACAAATGCCTCCTCTATTTTTGTGTATGCTGCCGGAATGCAACCAGCAATGCCTTTTGCAGCTAAATATGCATATGACATTAGTTTAAAAAGTAAATAATTTTCACTCAGTTGTGTTTACAACATAAACTTACCAAAGAAACCATTAGCAGTCGGATGTGCTGTCAACAAATGACATGTTCCTTGACAGTGTTTAAGCAATGCTTCACTGTACTCTGAAGTTAAGTTAAAGTAACCAGTTGCTAATTTGATTGTTGTACCTGGCGGAGCTGTCTGTAAAAGTTTCAATGTTATCTGGCTATCATGATAAATGTTTAATTGACCCATCTGTACCGAAGGAAAAATCCAAGTATCTACATCTAAATCTTTTGCTACAAAAACAACCGTACTTATGCTTCAATCTTGTTGAGTTATGTTTTTATAAATGATAAAGAGTACATATGTACCTATTTTTTCAGGATCCGAATATTCTTCTATTTCTCTCTGGAACAAAGCTTTCACACTATGTGCAGCTTTTTCAATGAATGTAATAGGATCCTTAAGAGGATTGACTTTCAGAGCAGGATTTAATACTGTATTTCCATCAGGTTTAAGTACAAAACTAAATTCTCCCACTCTTTGGACTAGCTCATCATAAAAATCACAAAGTTCTTCACAATCTTCAATCACAAAATAACGATCTTGTCTATTTGTAAAATAGTCATTGCTAAGATTAGCACTAAAAAATATATTTAATTATAACTATTTGCTTAAATGACTTTACATAAAATTAAATATTTAAATATTTACCCACTAATTATTATGTCATTGTCTATCATGTACAATTTCATATGTTGTAATCCTATCAATTCATTGAAACGATCTGGTGTAATCATTTTCAAGAACCCACGAAGTTTTGGAGTATGATACAAAAAAATCTGACAACAATGACCATGTTTTCCATTAAGTAATGGTTCCAACATTTTACGAGAATTTAATTTACCTCTAGATCCCCTCATAAAATCTATCAAAATTTTAACTTCAACATTACCATTACTTGTAATTAAAGCTTCGTTTACAGCATTTACCTAATAATAAAAATATTATTATTTATCATGTTAAAGCTTTAAATGCTTAGATCTTAGAATATGCTTACTAAATTAGATTCTAATTTTCCTGTGCCTAAATATAATGATGCAAATGTTATTCTCTTCCTTGCATTTTTACACTTTTGTACAAGAGTGGAATAAAATACACTTGGTTCATGAATTACTTTAATCTGAAAATACAAAACTATGGTTAAGTACATTCTGAATTCTTTCTGAACTAAATATTTTTTACATCGACCTTAGATCCATTTATGGCAAAGCAAGGAGCATTTTTATATAACCATGTTAATGTATAAAATTCAGATTGAATTGTTTCAAATTCTATATCTTTCTCTTCAGCAGTCATAGTAATTGATGTAATATCATTTACTACAGGTGAAGAAGAAAATTTTAATTCTGATTGACCAGAAATAAATAGTTTCCTTGTATGAAACCTGAAATTTTATTTTAAAAGATATCATGTATAAATACATGTTAATAATCATAAATGTAGAAATAAATATAACAATAAAATATTGGTAAGAAAGTCATGAAAACTGCATTAGTTTCATTCATCAAAATTCAAGTCCAAAGTCAAATAACCCACATAATATTCTTTCATTGTACGTATATATAACACGATTTACGTATCGAAAAATGAATATCATTAAATTAATTTCCAAATGCAACTTTTATTTCGAATTTTTATTTTTTGTAAATATGTAAATATCAAATTCATCGTATGTCAAATTACATGTGGCGAATGTCCTTGTGTCAAATCAACAAACATAGGTTAATCTACCTTTATTTGCTTTGAAAAGAATGAAATTTGATAGGACATCCATATTGGTTGGATTTTTTATATGCTACTCACCGCTTTGCAGCTTTCAAAATTACGTTATGCATAGGTAAATTCTTAAATAACAAAGCATTAACAATAACAGACTTCAAATTATAAATAACTCTTCCCTCCAGGGTACAAATTGCAGCGCACGCAATCTTTTGGCCCCTTTATATATTATATAAACATATTTACATATATATATACTTACATATATTTCTACGCTTATTCAAATCGAACAATTTTAAGATAAATTAAAATAAAAATACTCAGTTTATCTTTTACTCCAGTTTTATTAATATATTAAATATTTATAAAAAGATGTCATCTCGTTTGGATTAATAAATTTTTAGAGAAATATACGAAAGATTTTAAAGCAATGTATTTGTAAAACTAAACTAACATTCTATTAAATAATATACATATGTACCATTTCTTTAGATAACTTGTGGTAATTTATTGGATTTATGATCATTTCCTCGAAAACATTGCATTTCTTGCCAATGAATCTTTTATAGTTTTCCCAGACCTTTGAAATATTCAGTTTCTTATTACAAGAAACATTTTGTAATAATCAGAATAAATAATAATCGAAGAATAAGGGAAATTTTTTGTTAAAAGTGGTACTTTTTCTATTGATTAGTATTAAATTTTTCGCTTTAATTGGTGTATTTGATCTCCAACTGAAAACAACATTTATTTGAACAGTGTTTTGGAAAAATTCATAATAATTTTGCTTAAATCTCGTAAAATGTAGAATATATGTATAGAGAATAAGCATAAAAATCTAATACTTATATAAATTACAAACGAAGCGCCTCTTCACGGGGACACTTGGAATCAATGGTCGATGGAAAATACATGTAAAGAGTAGCAAAGGATTGATGTAGGTAGAGGATTCATATCAGAATAGGCGCAAAAATGGATTTAAACGTTAAGAAATTAGTGAAAGACGCTGGTGCTGCGCTTAGTAGAGTCGTACAGGTAAGAAGTGTTTAATATAATAATTCAACAAATTCATATTAATAAGAAAATGTACTAGTTAAGATACTTGTGGCTGAACGCTGTCATTTCTGACATTTTGTACCTTTTTCAGTGAAGAAACATTTCGATAAAATAATCATTACTTGGCAATTACTATTTCATTTAATCTCTATGATATTATATATTTTGTAATAATTTTTATATGTGATACGTTATGTGTATGTTTTTATTTGTAATTTTTTTTCTAGAAATTAAATTTAATTATTATTGAAATGTAAGGTTAGTAAATATATAGCACATTTCAATAATAGTTTCTATACTGTACTATTTGTTAATTTTCTTGTTTTTAGCAGTATCATTCTAGAGTGATATTTGCTTATCTTTATAAAATTTCTTAATGTGTAAGACTCCAGAATTGTTTAAGAGTTGTTGAAGAGTTTAAGTAATTAATCATTTGATGACTCAGAATATATCAAATAAATTGGGATGACTAACACTTGTCATTTTTAATATTTATGCTAATGTCATCAAAATTTAGTCAAAAGATATATTTTATTGTTAAGAAAAATAGAAAAAATGATAAAGAATTAAAAATTTAGTTGCCTTAATTTACTATAATGTTTAAAATTTGGCTGTAGTTGACAGAAGAAACATTGGGAACATCAGAGAAAACTGAATTAGATGCTCATTTAGAGCACCTTGCAGATAGAGCAAATGCAACTAAAACATGGACTGAAAAGATTCTTAGGAATATGGAGGCAGTACTTACTCCAAATCCAGGTATTATAAGAATATTATATGATACATTTAAATTATAAAGCTTTACACATATTTATGCAATGTATTTTTTTACAGGCAATAGAATTGAAGACTTTTTTTATGAGAAGATTGATAAAAAGAAACCTAACAGATTGAGCAATCTAGAATATGTAGGCATGGATATGATAGAGGCAGGAAATGATTTTGGTCCAGGAATTGCTTATGGTATACAAAATTAATTTATTAATTACCATTGCTCTGTAATTTTATATAAGTTTTAAAACTTCTGCTTTAGGCAGTGCATTAAACAAGGTTGGACAATGCCAGCAAAAGTTAGGACAAATTCAGAGAAATTTCATTAAAGATTCTGCTAATTGTTACATACAACCTTTAAGAAAATTTTTGGAAGGTGAAATGAAAACTGTTACCAAAGAAATGTCAATATTGGAAAATAAACGGTATGTATTTCATTTTTTTCTGTACATTTAAATGTATGTTGTTAATATTACTAATTTTTATTTTCAGATTGGACCTAGATTCGTGTAAAAATCGAGTAAGGAAAGCAAGAAGTATGCTGGGTCAGCAGAGTGTAAGTTTTACTATTTATCATTTTATTTAATTATATACACTATATATTTACTGTGTGCCTTGTCCTATACACTGCTGCATCTCATAGGAGACTGGGGTATCACCTGAAGTATTACTTGATCAGGTATTAATGGAGTTGACACCTTCAATGATTCAAAATTTGAGACTAGCTCTGTACTCTTTTAAATACATGTTCAATTTTTTTATAATTTTATATTTTTTATTTAAAGTTTTGTAAAAAATGGTAAAATTTGCAATTACAAATGGATAGATTTAAAAGTTTCATAAAAAAACATTTTATGAAACTTTCATTTGTAATTGCAAATTTTACCATTTTTGTTATAATGATGTTATACATAACTTTCATTGTAAAGTTATGCTGTAAGTTATTTCTATTATCTGTCATTTTATGTTGCACAAACAATTTTTTATGCTAATCAGATGCAAGGAATAAAACTCTTTATTACTCTACTCAGGCAGAGAGGGAGTTGAGAATAGCGCAATCGGAGTTCGATCGTCAAGCAGAGATAGTGAAATTATTGCTGGAAGGTGTTCAAAGCTCTCAGGCTGGGCACTTACGTTGTTTGCATGAATTTGTCGAGGCACAAGCGCGTTATTACGCTCAATGTCATGCAACAATGCAAGATCTGCAACGTGAACTTGCTGGGTAAGATGACAAACTTTTCTTTAAAAGTTTTTTCTTCAAACATTGTTTAATTATCCTGCACTGACCTTGTACAGCTATCCCACTCTTTGGTGATCCGAGTGAGTAATGTCTAATAATTATTGGATGCTGTGTCATATATGACACGTAAAAGTATTTAGGATAAGCTTATAGAATCATTACTCATTCGCAAAGATCATCATGTAGAATATTCTACTGCTTAAAATTCTGCTCATTTCTATAAGCGCGATATAAGTAATGTTTTTTTGTTTGTTCTAAGTAGTAATTGTAATCTATTTTATTTATGTTTCAAAATAAAAATGGTATCTTTGTTTTTGCTCTAGTCCTATGCTTCTTATACTTATTCATTCCTCTGATGTATTCTTTCTATTCTTTATCTTTGCCTGCATGATTGGGATTGCAGGACGCGTCAGCCGAGTCCTTTGCTGCGAGTCAACAGCGAAGATGTGATCGAGCTAACACCCTCACCTTCACAATCCCAAAATTCCTCTATAAATCCACCCCTTTCTGATTCTACTTATGTTACTGCTACCTTTGAGACGAATACTTCGAATGTTTAGCTTTACAAATTTATAATCGCGTTTAAAAAAAGGGCAATAACTACTTCGTAATAATTGTGATCTAAAATAATAAACAGAAGCTTACTGCATTTTTTCTTTAATATATATGTAGGTATATACATACATGTTAACAAATACAATTTTAGAAGTATGTTAAATGATTGTTAGTCTATTATGCTGCTTTAAAACTTGTAACTATCAGAAATGAGTGAATAAATTATCTCTATGAAATGTTTATTTACCGTTAATGAATTTTGTATAGTGAAATAATAGCAATTCAGCTATAAAAATAATGGAATTAGGAAAAGAATTTTATTATGTACATTTTTTTCTTTTTTTAAATATTTTCATACTTGAGTCAATATCCAAATATGCACTGTACAGCTGATTAATGTTTGTTCCTAATGCATGTTGCTAAGTTTTCTTTAGTACTAACAATGTATTTGTTAAAAGGTATTGGGATATTCTTTCTCAAAATTTCGTTATCTTTCGTTTACTATTATCTATGTTTTCCTATTTGTCAAACCGCTTATGCTTTCATATGTGTATCAATATAATTTATCAATAATTTTAATTATTTTTATTCATGTGTATGTAGCATGTAGATTATATAAAATCCTAATGGTAATCAAAATTCTTGCATATTTCTTACAAAATAAAGAAAATTTTAGTATTTGTAGTATTATCAAGTTTTTTATGTTGAATTATATAGTCTACAAATACAGTCCAAATTTTAAATGTTAAAAAAAAAAGTTTCTCATGTTTGCACAAATAGCTGATTCACTTTAAAATGCATGTTCACCAAACTCAACCAAATTGTAATTTATCCTACCCAGCTTATCTGGGGGTCCTTATCATCCGACTACCCAATCAACATCCAATGTATCAGGAAATGACGATGAGCAACTAGCAAGGGTATTATGCGATTTTTCTGCGACAAATTCTGAAGAATTAAGCGTTGTGCAAAATGAGGTAACAAAATTTGTGATTTAATTAAGAAGCATGTTTGCAGCATAGCCGTACAAATGGCATGAAACGTTATTAAAAGTGAGTTGCATTTATTAGTTCAATTATATTTATAAAAATTTCGTGATATCGATTGGAAATATTTTATAATTTACTTACATTAATTGTACGAATTTTTTATTCCCTTAAACTCAAACGTATAATAACGTATAATAAAAGTTAGCGCATTTCTTAGAAATATATTATATGTATATGAATACAGATAAAAAATTGTGCATTTTAAAATCGTCAAATTTAGTGCAATATAAATGCGTTTTTGGTTTTTTATATATATAATAGGAAAGATGTAGTAGATAACACATAATGTTACTTATATAAGAATTTTCCATGATATATTGTCATATAGTTTAAAATTATTTTATACGTAGTTTAGATCTTTTTGTTTCTATAATGTATAAAATAAAAGTAGAATGTTTGAAGTAGTGTAAATAAATTCTTATAGTTTTATGTATCATAAAAATGATGCAAGGTGTTACAAAATAAGAAGATATATACTTATATACATTGGGATTGCATATGATACTCAGTTATTTTGTCTCTCTGTTTAAAAATTAGCACTTTTGTATACCTGACATTAAATCTTTAAGAAAAATTATGCATGATATATATATCTATATTTTTTAGTTATAAGTTTCACAAATGTATAATTTTCTTACTTTTGTTAGATTTGTTTTTGGTGTTTAATATCTGTTTGTTCTGATTTCATTTGTATATTTGTTTACGTATAAAGTATTGTTACGTGTATGCATATAGTAAAGCACATATAAAAGAACACACATGTACATTTATTCAAATTTTGCATGTATAAAAAATAAATTGTCATTCATTCTGTTAAATGTATTTTATTTTTCATAACCTTAAACATGTCTCAGCAGATTTTGACCTCTCAAGTCTAGCTTTTTTGAAGTTTGGTAGATTACTTTAAACGAATTTATTAATATGTTATAAAATTTTATAAAATTCAATTATCTTGTAGGTAATTACGGTTATCGAGATACCTGGCAATGAGGAGTACGTAATTGGTATAAGTGGAATAAGACGAGGAAAAATACCCGCAGCATATCTAGAATTAATTGATGTTGGTCAACGAAAATTCAGTCAATAACTTTAATGCACATTCCTTACATTTAAATGCTTCATTCTACTTTCAATTTTAACTGCATTTGCATTATGCACTATAAAATATTTCTTCCACTTCGTGCAATTAATGTAAAAAACAATTACCAAAATGTGATCAATTGAGAAACTACATTTTTCGGATTATATATTTCCTGCTCCTAAAATCTACATAAATAATGCATATCAAACGAGAGCAGTCAATTTTTAAAATACGAGAATACGATTATATAATACGATTAGTTAGAAAATGTTTCCATAATTGTAAATCAGTTGTTGTTCAAAGTGAAAACTGTATTCTATAAATATTAAAATCATGATATATACTAATACACGTTAATATTGTCTTTAATAAATATATTCTTCAAATTAGGTGTCACTTATTCTTAAAATGAAACCCTTAATATTGTTTTATTAATTTATTAATAATCAAGAAAATATAAAATTACTTCTTTTTTGATACACCTACTGTACGACCGCGACGACCCGTAGTCTTTGTGTGCTGACCACGTACACGCAAGCCCCAGTAATGACGTAAACCTCGGTGAGCACGAATTTTCTTCATTCGTTCCAAGTCCTCACGAAGTTTTGAATCCAGATATGAACTAGTAAGCTATAAAATATAATATAATAATTGCTATTTTGTAACTTCTTTAAAGATTGAAATGAAAAGAGCAATGTAAGAAATGTAACAGTACTGAACTTTATATGTTGCACGTTAATTATTTGACACACCATTTAACTTCAATGTTAAATAGCAACCTATCATGCAGTTTCTCTAGCACAAGCTACCATCTAATCCATACATAAAGTTCATATGGTTAGTCGTAAAATTGTGCATTACATAGTTAGGGATCTCTTATCTTTTTCTTTTGTTATACACACCTGTGAATATTTGCCATCAACAATATCTTTTTGTCTATTCAAGAACCAATCTGGGATTTTGTACTGTCTAGGATTAGCCATAATTGTTACAATTTTTTCAACCTGATAAAAAAATCAAATAAATATTATAAAAATATGATAAATCTTGTTTGTATGACATTATTGTTAAATTAATTCTTACTTCCTCCTCTGAGCATTCTCCAGCACGCTTATCTAGATCGATATCAGCTTTTTTTAAAACGATGTTGGCGTAACGACGACCAACACCTTTAATTGCTGTCATAGCAAACATAACTTTTCTATTACCATCAATGTTCGTGCCCATGACACGAAGAATGTGTTGGAACTTCTCTGGAATTACAAGCGACTGAAACATAAATTTGAATAGAATAAAATTTTATATGTAACTCGCACGCATTAAGATTACAACGCGAGATAACCTATAAACGTATACTATCATCAGTTAATTGTTCCGAAATTTATTTTTATATATGATAGAAAATAATATGGGAACATGAAAAATATAGTAAAAGAAAAAACAATTAATTAAAGAATCTTATATTATATTATAATTCTTGGAAACAGAAGTCATAACCAAAACATTCAACAGATAACAGAATATTATTTAACTATCTTTGAAAGGTTAAAAAATATTTTCTTAACCAGTTACACGAATAATCGTTTTGTAATTTTTTCATTAAAAATTTGTGTATTTTGCATAGGATTCTCTCTACAATTAAAGATTTAAACTTCTCATACACGAAACTCACCATCTTGCTGCAATGCCTGTCACAGAAAGAACTGGAACCGGAAAACGCATGTCCGCAGGCAAATGCGCACACCGCATTCAAATTCTTCCTAAAGAGGGCATTGATAATCCATTATTAGCATTGAAAAATATAATTAAGATGAAAATATATTTTAAATTATTGTAAATTAATATACTTAATATTTTAAATAATTAAATTAAATAAGAGCTTTTTATATAACGAGTATAGAATGTACTTTTATCAGAATGTTATTTTATAAAATTGACAGTTCTGCATTAATATTGTTGAAAATTTATAATTTTCAAAATTTATAACTTTTTTTTAATACATAGTTATACATAATATTAACAAATTCTTTTAAATTAATTAATTAATTAGACTATACGTTGACATTATGTGGCAGCAGATGGCGCTCTTAGTACTATATTTATAAAGGATATATACATATAATATAAGATAGAGTCATTATTGCAAATAAGTGCATGTATTCTCCAATTTTATAACACTTTAGTTTCTGTTATACTAGATTATAAAACGTATTAATAAGAGGATAAGTAATAAAATAGGGAGTAAAAGTTATACAAAACATTAGACTATGCAGTGAGTTTTTGAGTCACAAAAAGTTATTAAAATCTACCAGAAATATAGTACATACTTAGAATATTATTCACATTGCGCCTGCGCGAACTTCCATTGGATTTAAATAAATATGCTAGAAATGAATATTGTTAGGACAGTTTTCAAGCATAGTGCAATACAATCGACCTCGTGGGTATAATTTCGATAACTCAATAAGAAACGAAGGACTGAAAAGTAATCGTGTATGTAGGAGGATTGCCGTTTTCCATGGGATACGATTTCCTGCTTGGTTTTCCAACGTTTGCCTCCTTTCAACCCCGGATCCAGGAGGGTGGAACAAAAACGAGCGTCCAGAGGGTAATAGGGAGAAGAAATTCCGAGGTATGATACTCCTCTGATTCGTTTTACGACGGTCGTTTCCTCGAATTAGGATGGAATAAGAAAGAATTCGTGAATCCGCTGATTTCGACCAACCCCTCTTTTATCCTGTTCTCTCGGATATACACGTACATCATATAAATATGCAAAAGTTCATGTATGTAAATGCACGACTATTTGCTGAAACGGAAGAGAGATTTTACAAGAGAAGTTGGTATACTGTTTGCTATCAAAATACCAATGCATGATACCAAATTAAATTAAGGTTATCTAATTTTTTATTCATAAGGTATATTTGCTCCCTAGTAGTTTATTCTTTCTTATTCTTTTATTTTCAGATTATGTAATAATTATAAACATCTATTTATAACTATCTATAACTATGAGATGATAAATACACGTAAGCCATTCATGTGAACAATTTAATAATTCGCAATTGTTGAAACAGAATTATTTATAATTTTATGATTAACTAGTGAGAACTTTTTTTTTATTTTTTTTTTTAAATAATGTTTATTTAAACCAAGATACAAATTTTAATACATTTGGCTATTCACAATAAACTATGAATTTTAGTAATGATGTGTTAGGCAAAGGTACTGGTACGCAGTGGTACGACGTAGCCATGTTGTATTATGTGTCGGCGCTTTACATTTTTCGTGTTTAATATAATTTTTGGATTTAAGCCGCTGGTAAGCGGAGCTTTTATATGAATTTGTTTTTTTTTTATTTTTTTCTGTCCTGAAAACTTGGTCGCAAAACAGGACGCTTCGGTAGTCTGCCTTTTGGGTGCTGTGTAACTTTGGGGAGTGGTGTGATGAGAGGGAGGGGGATGTCAAATAGGTTTATTTACAAAATTTACAGTGTTTACAGTTTATACCTGTGTTATGCGGTGTCAGAATTCAGTTCTGTCCGTTTAATGGTTTTCTCTCTTATTTTATTATGGATAAGAAGATTACAAAGGAAACACCCAACAAATCTCACAAAGGACATAACTTAACAAACACGATGATGGTACCCCGCTGGGGGTAGCCACCCACATGTTATATTAGTATATCGCTATAATATTTTACCAAATGTCCTACTGGACAAATTGTAAAATTTAAATAAATAAATAAAAAAAGAAAAAAAAAAGAAAAAAAAGAAAAAAAAATCTTATTATGGATTCTGTATCCACCAATATTTTTTTGTGTTTTTTCTGTGTTTGCCTTTGGTGTCTTTTCGGGGGAGGGCCATGAACTTGTGGTGAGAACAATTCATGTTAAATGATATGATTACTATATGAGTCAGAGCATAAGGTAGATTATGCTTTCTTTTACCAAAAAGAAATCAGTTTGGAGATATTCGAAAATATTACAGCCAATTAAGTGTTTGATATGAAATAAACTTTTCTAAAAAACATTTCTATACATACGTATACACATTCTGTACGTATGTACGTTAAACACTCAATTGGCTGTAATATTTTCAAATATCTCCGAACTGATTTCTTTTTGATCCAAGAAGCAATATAAGTTTAATCCCAGCAAGAGAATGAAAGTCAAGACTACAAAGGTCCGAAAGTGTTAAACGTTAATTTTCCCGTGAAACGTGAGATCGTGATGTTTGTGACGAATAAAAGGGAAACTAACCGTTCACTATTCCAATAGCATGAACATTGAACGATACAGAGCAGCTATAGTTACCGGCACGTGCTGACATATGGGCTTTAGGGCTTTGTCGGTATCCAGTGGTCTCTTCGCGGGGGTGGTAAATGGTATGTCATCGTGTTAAATGGCCCTGATGCCCACGAATCCATTCAAGGGCGTATCTTTACCAAGATTCAAAACCAATTCTTGCGGCTAATTTCCACCGTTTATACGTTTAATTGCCTTTTCAAGCCACCTGGACTACTAGCGCTCCATGAACCGATCTCGTTCAATGGAGTTTCAAATTGTAACGTTTACAATTTCCTAGAATCTATTGATTTCTATTGTCACTCGAAAATACGATATTATATGCCACACTTTCGTCCGTATTGTATCTTCTCGACTAATCTGTCCATTATTTTATTAATTTTATTATTTTATTAATTCATTATATTCATTAATATGTCCATTAATACTCCATCTGTCTTTTATCTTTAGACCAAAGTTAGAATTATAATTTTATTAGAAGAATTATAATTTAATATAATTATTAAAATTTAAGAAGTGAAATATCTAATATACTAAATTGCTATATTTTTACTTTATCTCATATCTAAGGGATGAAACATCTGGTATCCTAAATCGGTATAATTATTATCTTATTTCATTACAATCCGAAGTAGCTACTTGATTAATATCTGAAAATGATTACTAGAGATTTGAGTTAACCATTATTATTTTATCAACACGGTTCGCTATTACGCAGAGTGAAACCGAAGTTATATTTTTATGGGCAAAGACCGAAAAAATGGAATTGCTTCCGTGGTAGGAAAAAGGGAAATCTGCGAAACTCTGTCAAATGCGTTGTAATGCGGTCTTATGACGGCGAATGGGATAAGTCGTTTCTCCTGATGAGCAAGACTTAGGTGTATATATCATCTTCCGTACTTGCATTCTGTAGTCAAGGTCACTTCCTTTTCCCAAAAATCCTCTTTCCGATCGACTACTGAACGCTTCTTTACCTAGCGTTATTCCTCTTTCAGGCAATAGTAAAATATAAATCATGCTCGTCTTATTCACGATTATTATTTATCATAGGAACATCTTCGTCTCTCTCTACTTTAAAATTTTACTATTTTTGTACATTCTAGTATCCTATTTATTTTCTATGCGAAAATAAATATAATTTGCAGTCATATGAAATAAGATTTTTGGAATTTCTTCATATTAATAATTATATAGAATTTTCGAAAATTTTGAATTTGAATGTATGAAATTTATGTCCTTCCGAATTTTCAAAAATTACTTTATTTCATGAAATGTTTTTTTTTTTTCTTTTGGTTCTTAGAAAATTATCTTCCTTAGACGAAGCGTCTTGTAATTAACATTCTTGGTTTTATAGTACTGTGGGTTGGTGTGACGTTAGCGAAAGACGTGGCTGATTGTTTATAAACGTTGTTAAGATATGTTAATGTTGTCAGGGAATGTTGTGAGCGTTACCAAGGTTTGTTACAGTAATGGTAATGCTGTTAGAGTTGAATTAATCGTGATCGAGAGAAGTTCATCGTGTTGCTGTAACGTAAAAATAGTGTTAAGCGAATTCGTGAAGTGCGATATTATATTCAATTTTGTGAGAGTGTTACAATATTGTTAATTTATAATAAACATTCTTACAATACCGATCTTTCCGTTTAAAAGTTAATTATACATCTTATCGACGTGTTTTCATAAAAGTACGTTTATTTTCTAGCTGCAATGATAAATTATTAAATAAATTGGTTGAGAGAAAGTAACTGCGAATTTACAATGCTCCGCACATTGAGCAACTTTCTACTCCTCATGGGGTATGATCGACAATAATGCATAGTACAGTAGATTATCGTGCCCAAATGGTGACTGTGACGAAAGCCAATTACCTAGGACAGTACCATTTTCAGCAGCCTTGTCGGTTTAGCACGAGCCACCCGCAATCTTTGTCGGCAAACAGGCACTCGTAAATAACAGTAGGAACGTCTCAATGTTAGCAGGACCCTCGCTTCCCATTGTCTACGAGGTACCGACGTGTTAGACACGCACCCTGAATTTCAGTTTGTTTAAATAGGACTTTCAGACTGTGAAAGAATAGGGCGACCAACATAAGAGCTACTTTCCCTTATCAAATCTTGATAAAATCTTGATAAAAAATATTATAAATATCAATCAAATTTCAATTCAAGAATTAAAATCGATGTTTCGCTTATTTAACTGGAAATACTTTTACATTTCCGATAATTTCAATCTTCAAATTCTAAAACGCAGATGTTGTTTAATCTAAATCAAAGTATAAAATCATAGAGTTTTATATAGCAAATATTTTCGCTTTCTTTATTTAGTTTTTAAAGCGACTGTCTGAGAGAACCACGTCTATCTACACGTGATTTCATTCGGTTCCTTCATCCTTTCTTCTCGGATAGATACGTTTCCGCACACACAGTGATAACACTGATGCGTATACCCTGAACATAGAAGCACGTAAGGCTGTGGCATCGGGACGCAGGTGGCGGCGTTCAAAGCCAATTATGCGAACGCGCCCCGACGTCGGCGTCGTTCTCGCAAATCCCTATCCTCGCGTTTAAACCCGCGGGAGGAGAGCTCCAAAGCTGGGAGCGACAGGGAGAGTGGGAGAGAAGTTTAACTTGTCTACGCTATAACGGATTAACGGCCGCGATTTATTCGCAAGTAATTGCTTCCGCCCTTTAATTAACTCGCATTTATTTCACGTAATGGCGACCGCTTGCCAGCCGAACACGAACTTTTCAACGGAAGTGCTTCGTGAAAGAAGTCTACGTCCATGGAAACGCGTTTCGAGATTTTACATCTTTTTTCGATATCTGTAATATCTTATGTTTAAAATATTTTCAAAGAAACTTTGAAAAAAGTGAATCGAGTTTAATATAGAATAGGATTTTCTAGTAGATAAGCTTGATTTCTTGTTTTGATTTTTAAGAAGGAATTTTATTATAATTTTCGTAGGTGTAATTTTTGCGCCCAATAAAATATTCTTGATCCACTCGATTTCTTGTAGTTGAGGTATTTTTAAAGGAATTTGATTCAAGTTTTAGATTGATATAAGGTAAAATCTTCGAGAATATCTTCGTAACATTGTGATGATTTTGAATTTCATTGCAACAGATTCCACAGTTTAGAGTAGAGATTTTTAAATTGTCCGTTTCCTTCTGATTGATTCTCAGTCTTTCGTTGTTCAGTGTCTCTTAAAACTAGAGCTACAGATATACAAATGCTACAGATAATTTTGTAGTTATAGTAAAAAACATACAGGTACTTTTAGCAAGATTAACGTTGACTTTTCCATTATCAATATATTATGAGCATAAT